TAATAATACTATTAATAATAAATATAATAATAATACTATTTCTGATAATACTATAGATAATTTATATACTATTATTAATAATAAGAACTAGCTTGAGTATTGAAAGTCTTTTATATTAAATATCTTTTATAATATACTCTTTTATAATTTTAATAATTTATAATTTTATAATAGTTATTCTTTAATAACTATAAGAGTACTGGTCTTAGTAGGAGACAGGCTAATATTATATATCTATTCTGCTATAGCTACTGACCGCCCTCCGCAGTATATCCTTGCCGATACAGCGAATCTAATGAAAGGCAACTGACTTCCACATGACAAGTAATCTACATAATAAAAATAAATTTTTTAAAAATCTTTTTATTATATTTAAATATATAATATAATTTAATTCTAGTTTAAGTTTCTAATTTTTGTCTATTTTATAATTTAGATTAAATAAATAATTTTTTAGTAATAATAAATATTTAATATCTTTAAATAACTTTAGTAGATTTAATAAAAATAATAATAAATATATAATATTAATATTTTTATTATTTTTTCTAATTATTACTATATTTTAAAAGCTATTTATTTTAATTAATAGATTTTTTATTTTTAATAACATAGAAAAGTTTCTTTAGACTTATAATCTTTTAATATATAGAAAAAAGAGTTTTTTATCTATTTAATTTTATTTCTGACTATCTCTGCTAGCTACTATCAATTTCTCGGTATTGTAGGTCCCTGCTTACCGGTCCCGGAAGAACCTATATTCCTGGGTCCTAAGGCCAGATGGAAGCCCTCACCAACACAATATATGTGGTTGTAGAGCTTCATCTTTAACTCTGGTTTTCATAGGAAATCGGGCGTCAGGTGATCAGATACGACCACAGACTTGACAACAACGCCCCCGGGCGTAACAGTAACTACAGGTCCATGGGTTATGGTAAGGTTCTACATTACCGGCTATTATAGGTTAGAAATTCTATTGGTTACAGATATGTTAAATGTCTGTTGGCGACACCTCTGGTCCCTGACATCACCCGAAAGATCATGTGTTGTGAGTCATGTGTCTTCTCTCTGACTCAATATGAGTAATAGACTCTGCATTTAACTAACTTAGTTATCACTGCACGCTTAAGTAATCATATTCTGCTGACTGTCACAAGACACAAACATGCTTGAAGACCCAAGTTTCGTCAGCAGCTTCCCAGGTATTCAACTCTGATGCTAGAGCCTAGACAAGTATTGGTCTTAGACAAAATCGAGGACTTTTGATACAGTGCATAGTTATAGCATTTGCATTACTGTACTGGTTAAACAACTCTGAAAGGCGAACTGCCTGTGGCTCCCAAGATACTATGCATATAGATTCATATATGGCCTCTATCTAACACCAGGTACAGTAAATTGTCCATTAGTACAATCCTATGAAGTCATAGTTAGGATTACCCAAAAGCATTAAAGGATCAGGAAGCCGTCAAAGTAGGCGGGGTAAGTACTAGGCAGTCACTGTCTTAACATACTCCCGTATGAGAGATTGCCATTGTTAGGTCTGACCGTCAGGCAACTGTTAGCTGTGGGGCTGAAGATCGCCCATGATTCATCTAGCAGAGGTAGTGTGATACTACAGGTGATCTGACTCTTACCCACCCTTTCAGCCTAACCTGCTGAGAAGAAAATATCAATTCTGGGCCGCTATTGGCGGGTACAATGCCAAATCTGCCCCTCGATGGATGCCACACCGTGGGTGTACCCACACCACCACTGCCCCCCTTTATAGTAGAATTTATCCCCGCTCTCCTGTGGCAGTTGTCGTCATATGGTCCTTATTACCAGCACTACATATATTGGTAAACAGCAATATCTCCTCTTCAGGTTACTGTAGAGCTTTCAACCCCCGGTAGGCCCTGTTTATATATTAAAGCCACATATACATGAAAATCATACCTTCCAATGCTTTCTGGTGACAATGCAATTGGTGTTCGCAGAGGAACCGTGACCTTGTGATTAGGGAGATGTTTCTACTGCCACGCGCCAACCCCGCATGTCTTATGAGTATCATGGGTAATGCGCTTAAAGCATCAGCCCCAGTCATTGGCGCATTGACTCATAGTTCGACCTCTTCTCTGTTTCGCGTCCACCTTTCTCAGGGGCCTTAGTGTATTTCCATTCCTCCGAATAGGAATAGACTCGCCCTGTTGGTGTCTTTTGAGTTCCTTAAATACATCACGGCGTCCCCCCGCCCTTCTTTCCAATTGAGACCTTAAACCTGTAAGAGATATCACCCAATATTCGTATCAAACACCGCACGGTCGGTCATAGTGAGCCTTATCGCCGAAGGGGTTCTATGTCATCTGCCTATTGCCACCCATAAGACAAAGAGGCGGCCCTGACAAATCACTTTCACGTGTGCCTTGCCAACATTGCCCAATCCTTTTTCCATTGACTTCCATAAACACATACCATCACTGTTCGTCACATATCGCCTTCTAGGCACTATATCTTTAGCACAACACCAGCAGTGACTCCCTGTTATACTTACTCACATCTTCATCATTCTTGGTTGTCTGCGACTGACAATCAGACCATTGGGATGACCTCATTTACTGTTACCTCACCTTTGGGCCGAAGCGACAAGGCAAACATGAATCATTTACCATCCGTTTCCAGCCTAATGTCACCCCCAGAGTCCAAACCTTTCGATAGTTTTAACCCTGCATTTTCACCCCATCATGTGTCACAGGATCCTTCATTCAGCCATGACATGAAGCTTCCTCCTATCTCCGTTGACCGGAAGCGGACACAATCGGAGATGGACTTGCCGTCGCCACCTGTGACTCCCTACACAGGCAACAAAAAAAGGAAGTCAAATACATCAGAGCAGATCGAGGGAGATGCAGTAGTTGGCTCTTCAAGGGACCCTGTCCTTTTCCCTCGCCAAGATTCGCTCGCAGAGGTTGCTACTGACGAGCCGTTGTTTGGTCCTATGCTTCCGACCGCGACGGAAGCATTGGTTGAGCAGCATATTAATTCCCACATGGCAAGGTTTGAAAATAAACTAAATAAACCGACACGCGATGAGTACCTTCTAGCTCTTTCGTGTGTGCCAATCGTTTCAGCTCAATATAATCGCAACCCAGGAGCATGGGCTAAAGAGGAGCGAGAAACGCTAGAGCGCCAACTGGTCATGATGAATCGTTGTCGCCCGCACACAATGGAAGCGAAATTAAAGAGAATCGCCCCAGCGCCGGCCAAGAGGACAGTTCCTGCTCAGACTCGTGCGCAGCGGACTCCCAGGGCCAAGCGTACACCAAGATTTACACCAAAGCAAAAAGTTTTGGACACTTTTGACTTAACCCCACAATCCAGTAACAAGCAACCCCGAGCTATAGGCACAAATCGGGATGACACAGATTATAAATCGATTATGGATTACTCCCCTCCTTTAGAGACTCTCGGAAGCAATGCAAAGGCATTAAAAGCAGACTGGAAAGGACAAATGCTGGATCTCAGCAACGATTCAGATCGACACTTGCTGAATGCCGCCGAGCTCAACCTTGCAGCCACATTAAGGCTTTCCTGTGCAACATATCTATGCAGCAAGCGTCGCATTTTTGAGGCTCGTGTCAAGGCTTTGAATGTCGGGAAAGAGTTTCGAAAGACAGATGCTCAACAGGCTTGCAAGATCGATGTTAACAAAGCAAGCAAGCTTTGGACGGCATATGACCGAGTTGGCTGGTTCAGACCGGAACATTTCGAACAATTTCTTAAATGACGTTACGAGATATATCACTAAAGCCTGCTATCCAACGTTGTTACATTCGATCATCTCAATTTTTTTTGTTGGTTAATTAGCGAGTTCGTTCCTAGGATCATGCAATATTTCAAACCTTTTGTTCTATGTCACTAGGCATGGCTGGTCTGTGTACAACGGGGTGACTTGCACTTTTGACCCATCCTTTTACGGGATTTGATGTCCTTTGCTGTTGGCGTTGTAACAGGGGTATGTTGGCATTCCTCTTATGCATAGCTGTCGTTGATGCTCTTTTATGACCTTTTTTTTGTCTTCTCCCTTTTAAAGGCGCAATATTTAGCAGTGAGACACATCCCAGACGTGTCACCATATGTTTTATCATACTATACTTACCGTGGTTTGACTCGTTGGGTGCGATTCATATTACCTAGAATGGCAGATTCGCATTTGGTGTTAGTGAATTTTCGATGATTGACAAGGTTTAAATAGAAGACCCCACGGGCTTGACATTTAGCTGTATTATTGAGGTAGATAGCTGACCTTCCTGCATGCCATTCCCTATTATATGCAGGACCTCGCTCAGAAAGCTTTATTTTATATTGTTCCCTTTTATTGTATGAGAAGATGCTTATGCGAAATTGAGGGTAGAGGGGAAAAAAGAAGGGAGATGGGCTTCATGATCGTACGGCAAGCAATTCACCCTAGCTCGTTAATGTTAATGCCTCTCATATGTGATTACCCTGGCTTTGGCCTCGAGATAGGGTTTCCAAGGAACAATGTTTCTCTGCTGCCGCTGATGTATTAATCAATTATTCACGTGACACACTCCAAGATGCTGTTTTTATCACTACTGTCCATACAGAACTCATACCGTAAGCGGATGCGACGCCCAGCCAACTACGTACGCAATCCCCGTTACTTCCGGTCCGCGCCACATGTGGTAAAGTCCGACCTCTATTGTTTCGTGCATCCGTTCCTTTACCGTCTCCATCCCAGCATCTGATTTATATAGTTAAGCCTTCAGTCTTCCTTTGTGTTGCGCGCGTGAACCGGTGAGGAAGCCCCTAGACGATAATGTCTCACACCGAGGCCGCTCGTACAGACTCCTTGGGTGAACAGGAAATTCGGGGTGATGTGGAGAGCGATAAAAAGGCGAAAAACAGACGACCTGCAAGTATGGATCTACGCTGTCCTGCGAGTATTGCAACATCAGTATTTTAATTAATGTTTATGTCGTATCTAGATACTGCTTTTCGGCAACAACGCTTGAAAGCCTGGCAGTGAGTTTCGAGTGCCAACGGCTTGCATAGCATTCATGTTTCATCTTGCTAACACTTCCCAGGCCTATCTTGACACCAAGGAGTGTGCTACCTTTGTTTTTCGTCGTTGGTGTCATTTTTGCACCCATTGGGGGCCTTCTCTTATGGGCAAGCTCTGAGGTAAGATCGAAAATATCGGGATGCGCCTGCTGCTAATGGCATCCGTACATCTCTGAAGGTACAGGAAATTGTGATAGACTACTCTGAATGTGCCGATAAAGCACAACGGACCCCCGTCCCGATCCCAGACAAAGTCCAATCGTCTTTCAAATCTTCCAATCAGCAGCCCAATCCGACTTGGATGAAATATAAAGATGAACAGACGAACGAGACCATTTGTCGCTTGAGTTTCAAGATCCCAGAGAGCATTGAACCTCCTGTGTTTATGTATTATCGTCTGACAAATTTCTACCAAAACCATCGGCGATACGTCAAATCGCTAGACATAGACCAACTTAAAGGAAAGGCAGTCGACAATAAAACTATTGATGGCGGTTCATGTGACCCCCTCAAGCTTGATGACAGCGGCAAGGCATACTATCCATGTGGACTTATCGCCAACTCCATGTTCAATGATACAATCAAAAGTCCCGAGCTTTTGAACGATGGAAACGACGATGATCCTGTAGTATACGTCATGACTAACAAGGGCATCGCATGGGATAGCGATAAAGAACTTATTAAGACCACGCAGTACAAACCAGGACAGGTTGTCCCTCCCCCGAACTGGCAGGCTCGCTATCCGCATAATTATACCACCGAGATTCCTGACCTTCACGATAATGAGGAATTCATGGTTTGGATGAGGACAGCTGCATTACCCAACTTTAGTAAACTGTCCCGGAGGAATGACACCACGGCAATGTCACCAGGCACTTACCAATTGGATATCGCAGACCGTAAGATCCATCCTTTACGCAATATCCGTTCTGTGTTAACTGTTGTTCAGACTTTCCTGTTACAGAATATGGCGGAACAAAGTCAATACTCATATCTTCTCGGACCGTTATCGGTGGGCAGAACCCTTTCATGGGTATTGCGTATGTCGTTGTTGGCGGCCTATGCGTCCTTCTTGGTGCGCTTTTCACTATTGCTCACCTAGTGCGGCCTAGGTAACGATGCCTCCCTCAACCTAATTCACGTAGACTTGATGAAACTGACAATGAATATACAGGAAGCTTGGAGATCACACATACTTGACCTGGAATAACGAGCAGGAAAGTAGCGCCATAGCAACCGGGAGAGATAATAGGTTTGGGCCGAATACCCATTAAATGATACGCTCTTTCCAACCGCCCCACCGTGCGTTATTGTACACCATTGAATGCTCATTAAAGTTGGCCAATATGCATGGCTCCTTCTATGGTTCCTGCCAAACCATGCGTCATAGTTCGAGGCACTTGCTGCTGGAGTTGTGGTGTCTGTTAGTTTTAAGCTGCCCTTCTCTTGCTTAACTGTTAGTATGACTGTTTTTGTTGCTACACTAGTGTCATCTGGATTGGGTGCGTCTTCAACAGTATGAGGCCACCTACTTACGAAGACTGATCTAACGACGGTTGTCGCCAGATTGTTATTTTGAGTTTCCCAGATAGGTTGTTTACACCCCTTGTTAACATTCCCATTACGTTATGGCATTCTTGGACTCAATCATGCTTCTCTTTCAACAGCATCGCTGGTTATATTCAACCGGTAAGCTGGTTCTGGCGAAGTTCTATGAAGCCACCAATGCTGAAAAAACATGTCGCATTTTCCCACTTTACATATTTTGATCCTTGTGATAGCCAATCTACAAATTCAATGCTTCGCTTTTGTTTCGCAGAGTCGTGGCTTCTGTGCGACCGGCCCGCCCACTGAATCCCTGAAGGCAGAGTACAGGAGATTGAGCGCACTAGGTTCTCAGAGTTACAACCCTGTCGATTCCGAAAGTCGGGCGGCAGTCACCCCGATTGAGATAGATACGTGGTTCCACATCGTTACTGGTGAAGCTGGAACTGAATCGATCTCAGATGAGATGATTGCTGATCAGGTCAGTAGTGGCACCTTGCATTAGTTCTTGCTCCATGTTCCCTTTTTTCCTGGGTTTGAAGACCTACCTGGTCTTCTCGATAAGTATAATAACGACGATCGTCTGACACTTATGTGAAGCTTTCCTACCTTCAAAACGCATACTCGAATGCCACAATATCCTATCGCTTACAAGGCGTGACCCGCTCGGCAAATGATACGTGGGCTCGCAATGAGGACGAAATGGTTATGAAGACTGTCCTTCGCAGAGGGAGTTACCGTACGCTCAACGTTTACTTTCATACTGATCTCCAGGCGTCTGCCAGCGCGGGCGCCAGAGCTTCTGACCTCGTCCGCCGCGAACTGGGTTCCTCGCAACAACAACCTACTAGCATGCTTGGTTTTTGCACGTTGCCTGACCCAAGCATAAACGCTAGCAGCCCTCGATTTACTTATATCAAGGATGGCTGTAATGTACTTGCGGAGACCATGCCTGGTGGTTCTCTTGCACATTACAACAGAGGCGGTACGGCAATTCATGAAATAGGTCACTGGAATGGTCTGCTGCACACCTTCGAAGGAGAGTCATGCTCACCCGATAACGAGGGAGATTTTATCGCAGACACACCGCAGCAATCCAAGCCCACAGAAGGGTGTCCTGCCCAGAAAGATTCATGCCCGGAGCTCCCAGGGTTTGATGCTATCCATAATTTTATGGACTATTCATCTGATGAGTGTTACGATTCCTTTACTCCAGATCAGGTCAGCAGGATGCGAAACATGTGGTTTGCGATGAGAGACGGGAAGTGAAACTTGAGAAATACATCGTCGTTTCATGGAGTACACCACCTCTCAGTACTTGGATGGAACCTGCCAATTCATACTTTATTCCCACTCCTGTGTGTTGTTCGATATTGTTTGTCATGTGAAATGTGCCGCGTGGTTATGCAGTCCAAGTGTGGGAATAGTATACATATACATTGTATGCTGCGCTAGAGTCTGAGATAAATAAAAGTAATAAATAGCGCGCAACTGCAACAGGTTTCTCTTCTGAATTCGTGTTGACGCAGTGGACTACGCATCTAGGAGCCATTCTTAACAGACGTTTTTTGTTCGGCCGAGTATGCTATAACAGGCAAGACGCTCAAGCCCTGGAATTTATAGCAGGGTATAAAAGCTGGGATTGGATTGACGGCAGGACTCAAGAGTGACAGCGCTGCACGAAGTCTTTACCACCAAGATGCACTGGGATGAGACCATGGCATAATTAGGACAATGTGTTCGCTAGGAAGGGAAATGCTATCCTCTGGATCTCCACAGCTAGACGCTAGGAAGATGTTATGGCAATGACCACTATACAGGTTATATACGAAGCGGCGAATGCTCTACGCGTCCACGACATTGTTATCGATTTGCCTAAACACCCTGCTGGTTTCACATGATACGGAAAGCAATGTCTGAAATCTAGTCATCCTCACCATGAAAGTAGCTGAACTCCCAGAAGAAAAAATATAGGCGAAGTAAAAGGAAAGAGAGACAGGTTGTGTAAAATGCCCTATGATACAATTACAAAGACTTAACGTTTTCGCTTCTTACCACGTTCCTCATCATCCAAACCACTTTCTCTGTCTTTCTTCTTGGCCTTCCTTTCCAATTCGTCCCAATCCTCACCACTGTCCTCATCCGCGCTGAAATCCTCACTTGCCTCAGCACTGGCATCATCATCAAATTCGCTATCGTCTTCCGAGCTTTCGTCTGCCGCAGCAAGTTCTGACTCCGACAGTTCGAATGCAGATTCCTCCTCATCAGATGCACCATCCTCGGAATCAGATTCTGCTGCAAGAAATGACCAACCTCCATCTGCAAAGAAGCCGTATGGATCACTAACGACCGTCTTCATAATTGTAGTCCAGTTAAGGTTTAGTGGCCCTTCCGTGAATGCAATATCGACAGAATCGAGCCAATCTTTCACCCCTTCAAGGGACTCAACGGGGATTGTGTTAACATGAACCGGTGGTCTGTGGAAATCTTTGAAAACGAACACCAAGTCAAAGTTCTTGAGCCCAAACTACAGTCACGTTAGCAATATGAAGCGCGACTCCGTCCGACCAGTACATACCTGAACCCTCTCTAAATGGGCAATTTCAATCTCATTTAGAGTGATCACAAGAAAAGGGGGCTCTGTTAGCTGAACCAGAGCATCCGTGGTTGGCTGAATTAAGACATTGGAGCGGTTCGGTACACCAGTGAAACCAATTTCTCTAAACGGGATGTCAACGTCCACTCCTTCGTCTTTACCCGCATCTGCTATTTTTTCAGCGAAAGCCTTAAATTCTCGATCCAAGGCTGCTCTTCGCCGTCTCTCTTCTTGTTCTGCTTCGAACTCTTCCTCGTCACCGTAGCGATGTTTGCGCCTACGATTGCCAGTCTCATCAAATTGCATCTCAGTTGCCTCCCGATAGAACTGCACGTCCCTCGTCTTGCGCTTGCCAATCATAATGGGTGTTTTCAGGTGAACGTGGATCAAGACAATTAACTCGTGGGCACAGGGCTGAAAAAATAGGTGTTTCACATTGCTGAAAAGTACGTCGACATGCTCGTTTCGGAAAGGTGACATATAACGAAGACCATTTTGGTGGATTTCGACCTCTCCGGGGACTCGTTTGCCATCTAATGGAGGCCGAAGATAAACATCGGGCAATCTCACAGGACGGCGATCTGGAGAAATATTAGCTCATGCCAGTAAGAATATTGTTTATTGCCAAGTACTTCTGATTTCCACGAGCTTATCTTGCTCCACTACATCTTCCATCTCTTTCTTCTCCTGTTCACGCCTCAAAGCATTTTTTCTGAGCTCTGTGATATCTTGAGCAACCTGTGCAAGTCGTTCGTTGTCTTTAGACCTGAGGGTTAAATTGCGCAAAAAGTGTGCTGATATGTCTTCAAATGGTTGGTCATCCTTCCTACCAACACCCTGCCCTGGGGAAAGAAAATTAATTCGGAGATAAGCGTATTCCCCTTCGTCACTTTTGCTAGCATTCTTGATTGTGTTGATATGGAAAGGTACTGGTCGACCCATGATTGGAACAATTACCGTTGATGCTTTGTGATCCACATAAATGGTCAGATCTTTAACCTTAGTAGGCAACTGATTATCCCTCTTGTACGATTCAAATCGTTTGAATTTTTTCTGTGTGACTCCATTATCGTCACCAGTAGTACCGGCGAATCGATCGAGGCCTTCCTTTGTCTTTTTTGTCGCCAACTCCTTCTGGTGTTCGCGTCGTCGTGCCTCTGCACCTTCATTGACCTGAGTCGGTCGCTCCGCGCGAAGTTTGGTGCGAGTAACATTTCTGCTAGCCATTGCGCTGGATTTGACTTCCTTTTTCTCTTTGGCAGGTTTCTGCGGTTCCTCTTCGTCTCCGAAGTAGAATGAAACAGAATCCATATCAATACCTGCCTCCTTAGTGAATATGTGCGGACCATTTTCTCCAACACGTACAGTGTCTGTAATAATCATTGAGTAGACAGTGTTGTTTTTGTCTTTTGACTCTAGGTCTTCGACATCTGTTAGCCCCACCGTTATAGAAAGAGTCATTCCACTCTTTAAAATTTTGTTGTTTTTTCCGTTCAGAACCATATTAGAATCTCGGAGCTCAATTCCAATACCCGCCCCAACGCTTTTAACAAAATGACTCTCAAGCTCAGGTTTTTTGGCTCGTACCAGCCCGATCGCTTTGTTAAATAGATCTTTGGCCATCGTCCCGTCGCGAACGTCTTTCATGACTGCATCATGAAGGTTCAGTAGAAAGGCATAGTTGGCTTCCTGGGACTTGCTCGGATCTACCAAATAGGTGCGTGCTATTATGGAACTGTAAGTTTTGTAGCGGACTCCAAACCCAGCAACAATAATCCCAGCCTGAAGGTGACTATTATCAGACATAGCTGTTAGTCGAAGGTCATACTTTCCTCCACTCTGAATGACAGGGCCATAGGCCCAATCAATCTGTTGAGGATCAAATTCCGCTGGGAGCTTAGCAAGTCTCTTAAAGAATTTTGCATCATCAATTTTTGCGTCAATCCGCATGGAGAGCGCTTTGTGGGTCATTTGCTTCTCTTCGTCAAGTAAGCGGGACATCTCATCGACGAAATATTCTGACATTAAACCACTGCAAGCCCGTGACGCGTTTCGTATAGCCACCTTCACAATATTAGCTCTCAGTTCGCTCGGGTGCAGCGCCAGGAAAAGAGCTTACCAACTCATCTGTATCCTTCACCGAAAAAGCGGCCGAAGAAAGAGCGGATGAAATGTCGACTTCTTCCACATCTTGCGTTATGTTTGCAAACGCACGCTTCCAATCTTCCGCGAACGGGCCAGCAGCTGTATCTTTCGGAAGTATACCAACCCTTTTCTGTTGCAGGTATTCGATTAGCATGTATGGTGTATATTCGAGTGTTTGGTGTCTGGGAAAACACTCACGCCGGCATTTTTTATGACTTCTAAGCATTTTTCGAACGATCTAGTTTTTTCGTCTGGATCCTTGGATGTGACAAGTATCTCAACTGGGATCTTGCCACCTTTCAAGGGCTCAAGGTGTTTGGCTACATTTAACAAACCAGTGTTAGTTGAGAGATACGTGGAGTCAGCATTAGGCTAGTCCTCACCCTTTTTTGCTGTAGTCACAACGTACATCATATCTGTTGTGAAAACCATAAGCGTAGCTGGAAATTCATAGCCAAGAAGCCAGAACTAGGATCGATGGTTAATGATTTGGAGCTTTGTGCGTGAAGGGAAGAATGAGTCATACATGCATTGCGTTATTTTTCTGAAAGCTATTTGCTTCATCTGTTTTTCCCATAAGGATAACGATTGATCCTACGCCGCCAAAAGCTGCGTGGCCAGGTCGTTTGTCTGCCTTCCATGCTGCAAAGAAGCTCGAAAGACGGTTGAAAAAAGCGTTTTTATCGATCACGATATCTTCAGCCATGGTGTATATTATTCGGGTTCGAGTCGAAGATCTGATACCTTCTGATCTTCAACCAAAGTCTGGGTAAGTGGACGGGAGTATGAAGCAAAAAAGGAAGTAATATATCACTGGGCATGTATCAGACAGTCACCCAAGTAGCCACTATTGGCACGGCTACTTTAGGTTGATATGTGGTTGTGGAAGCAAGCGACATAGGTAGACGCTTATCAGGAGAAGCTGGTAATAATTCTTGGGACTTGTTACGAACGCGAGTCAAGAGCGGCAAAGCGCGTTTTGGGCAAAGCCTTCAAGTGTTTGCACTGTTTGATTCAACTACAGCGACTATATTGCAGCAGTGAGAGTTTATCACATATGGGACCTCAAGCGCGCTGAGGTATGTCGACAGCGACTACTAGTACAACTACCTCATATTGCCAGATGGATCTCTAAATTCTTTCTATCCATCACATTCTCTTATGCTATCAACACGATTCCTGGTTCATTGTTTCCGGACTTATTATACCTTTCGCTTTCGTTGCTTTTAGTGTATAGATGCGGGCCCCTTCCTGATGGAGCATGTCAATCTTAATACTACAAAATGGAATCCCAAAATTGCTTCACCCCTGGTCATACAATAGACCGTGGTTCTTATGTTATCAGTTCAGATACCGAAGGCTCTTCCAACAAGAAACCACGAAATAACGCAGCCACCGGGGCTTCTGCTGCTGGAGTTCGTGCTCTCAGCGCGCAGTTGGTTGCATTCTACTTTAGAGCTCCAATAAAAGCATTCTTTCGCACTCGAGTTGAGTATGAAACCGTGGCTTTATTTCATCTTTTGTGTACTTTACTCGGAGAATTCACATTGACTTGACTTCTTTATCTTCAGTTACATGGTACTTGATCCGGTCTCCTATCATCGTATATTCTCAGTACTAATGCGGGCCGTCTATTTATGTACTTCACAATAGGCATTTGCCAGGGCTGTCAATCCACACTCATCTGAAAGCCGATGGTCCCTCCATACTACTACCCCGGGGTTACTTGTCCATGCTGTTCGCACATATGGTTGGCGCTTTATTCCAAATCAGATCATGCCTCCCCTTTTGGCAAATGCCGGGTGGGTTAATAGAGAAAAGTACGCCCCATAGTATACGTCTGACTTTGCGAATAGGGTTGGTGCTGTGCTATACACGTCATACCTCCAAGTTCTTGGAGCCTTGTATGAG